GGTACCCGGTACCTCCTGCTGAGACCGCCGTTCTATCTGTCCGTCGCCGCACGTCATCATTAGGCCGTCCCGGTGGGCGCGTTTCGTCATAATTCCTGTCGGCGAGTCTGGTGTGTGGTTGAACACACTGATCTACATTGATTCACCGTCAGACACGTATATTTAGTTATTTCACGTCCATCTTCCTGACAGCTCGACCTCGGCTGTGCTGGTGTAGACAGCTGCACGGCTGATCGGTGCCCGACTGAAGGAGGAAGGTGATTATTTGGACGAACCTGCCGGGACTGGGGCGCGACCCAGATTGCCGCTCAGGCCTGTAAACCCGAACTGCGCTCTATTGCTGCCTGAGTTATACTCTCTTTTGCTACCCGAGTCCCTGACATGGTGATTGAAGTGTAAGATCGTACCTGCTTCAATCCAAAGATCAATCATTTGCCGTTTACTTCCACCGGAGGGAGCCCTGGACTACCGTTCGGCTCAAACACTCTGCATTGATTGAGCCGGTGCTGAATAGGCTGCCCAGCGGCGTACAAACTTTAGTGCGTTCAACTTCAAGGCTTGCTTCGAGGTCACTCGAGGTCAACCGATTGGCTCTTTGAGTTCAGCATGACTGCAGTACCGGCTTCCGATGAATGAAGGACAGTCCGACCTCGCACCACGGCTCCCCCGCAGCCGACACTGCGCCACGACGCTTATTGAGTCATTTCGACGGACCGCAGTCACGCCGCTACGCTGTTAGAGGGTTACTGGGACTCCTCTGGTAGGGTTCTGCGACTCGTCTCGTCGGTCACCGTGCCATGACATGCACGACTCCCCGCTGAGTATCAGTATGTCCAACGTACGGCCCTCTTCCGGAAAACCTCCGGCTGCGGGGCGGCCGGGGCCCACGGGAGGCAATCACTCCGCGCTGATCTGACGTCTGGGGCAAGGTCTGACCCCAGTCCGTGCCCCCGCCCGTGACCTCGCGACCTCGGCTGCCGGCGGAGGCTAATGGAGGTTCGCCCGGCCCGTGCCAACGCAGCCCTCCGCCGTCGGCATCGACTACCCAAATAAACAGACGGGCCGCTTTGACTACGGCGGCGGGCCGCCCGGCCGGCCCCCTGCTCATGGAAGGCACGGTCGGCAACCGGGTCCGACTGGGGCTGACTTGACCGAAACGGCCTGATCAGAGCGAGCCATCCTGATCGAAATGACATTACGGGCTACGCGATTAGGACCCTCTAAAGTCCATCACAGAAAAGGAAACTGCATGCAAAGGAACGGAAAATAAACTAATAAGAGGGAATGGAAGGTGAAACTATTTGCGGCAGCTCGACTACCGCAGAAGCTATTCACAGCTCGGACGATTAAGGTTGTGTGGATGTGTGTCAAGGTCATAACTCGTCCCTTGGCTCTGGTTCATTTATGGTGTATGCCTTTAATTACACCTATTTACGCTACATGACCACCATATGTTGCCAATACATCGATATAGCCACCGGCAGTACAGCAGCTGTGATAGGCGCTGATGGAGTGAAGTGTCCAGCGGCCCATTATTCGATAAAATACTAACCTCGGGAATGGATTTTAACGTGCGTAACTTCAGGCCGCCATCACGTGCAGGTCATTTTTCTCCCGACCAATGTTCCATAACTGTACCATTCTCGCGTTTAAAGATAACCTTATTGGTTTAAGATAGTGGCGCCAGAAACCTTGTTGATACTTGTCCAGATGCTGTCGAGATAACGGGGCCATTAACTTGCTTGTACGGCTTCATTTGAGCGAGTCTTGGTCGTACCATAACTTGTGTGATATTAATGATCTTCCACCGCCTAGCTTGTTAACCCGCGCCCCGTTGGGCTCTGCCGAGCAACGCGCCCGGTGGGGGGGGGGGGCCATTTTGGCCCCCCCCCCCCTAAGATCTCGAGAACCACGCAACATAGCGACAAGCGGTAAACGGCGTTGGATAGCCCCAACGGGGAACTACCTTGTGACCCAATTTTATCGACCTAGGTCAAACCGATGACGTCACAGGTCAGGTCAAAGGTCCAATTTTCACCGTTTACAGGCACTTCAAGAAATGCGTTGTAAAATCGAGTAAAATGCATTTCATTGAAAATCATCGATGGGGAAATGTTCTTCAAACACATATTTTGCTATTTGAGGTCACTGATACCAGGTCAGGTCACAGAGGTCAGGTCACGGGGGGGTCACAATATGAAAGTGTCGTGTGATACATGTTTTATGGTCCATTTTACATGATAAATGCGATTATATGGGTCAGGCAGCCTTTGGGGCCAGCTTAGATCACGTTTTGGTCAAGGTCAGGTCAAGGTCAGGTCAAGGTCAGGTCAAATTAGGTCAAATTTCAAAGTTAATATTTTTGCATAAAATGGGTATCGAATCGATGCAGCTCGTCACGGGGAGTTCAATGGTGGTCTTTGTTTTGCCGTACGTGGTCTAGAATTGCTAAAAATTGAGTTCAAAAATTTGACGTCATTGTTTTTGAACAGTTTTTTCGCTATAACTTGGCCAAAAAACGAGATATCGATCTGAAATTTGGTATGTATATAGAAGGGCGCTGGGACTATCACATATATTCCGGTTTTTTTCGAAATTCGGAAAATTTTTGGATTTTTTCAAAGTTTTTCTAAAAAAATCAATTTTTTGAATTTTTTTGGGTCAAAAACCAAAAATTTTGAAAATCCGAGATAGCAGTTTTGTAGCGCCGCTTTTTGTCTACTAGACCATATAAAGAACTTTGAAATTGCTTGATAACTGTAGATTTGGTGAGCGTTTCAAGATTGCATGTTTTTTGCTCATTTTTGCTCGAACATGACCTCAGTTTGACCTCAATAACTCCTGACCTAAGGTGACCTAAGACTTGAAATTTGGTGTGAAGGTGTCAAATTGATGCCCGGGAAGGTACTGAAAATTTGGCGGCGCTGCGCGCCGCCGTTTTCTTGCTATTCAGGAAAAACTACAGGGGGGGGGGGCCAAAATGGCCCCCCCCCAACGGGGCGAGGGTTAAATGGGTCCAGTCTTAGCCGTGTGTACTTATCAGCTTCAGCCTTATCAATTTCATCGCTCTTATGGGTATCACGGAATTTCATTTAACGAAATGGACAGCCGGAATAGTAGCGGAATTGCAAGACCTGCAAGATGAAACGCCCAAACCCTGCGCTGGCAGTTTTACCCAAGATTAGTTACTTTATTAATAGTTTTACCCACATTTGAGCTGTCAGGAAATAGGTACCTGATGTTTTTATACATACCTACCACTCTGATAATATCTCCACCAGTCCTTCATCAAAGATGACAACGTGTCTAATGAATCGTCTTTGGCTTTGCCACCACGACCTATCCAACCAGCGCGGAGCGGAGTGGAGCGGCACTGCTAGAATGGAGGCTGACTTATAATGATCGAGCTTCTGTCTATCCATCTAATAGAGAGCGCATATAATTTCCTAGATAATTCGTCAGTCTGGTCATGCTGGTCAGTGGTCAGTCATCTTCAGACACCACGCCCTCGACCTGTCCGCAGTTCGGCCATGCATTCAGACGGCCGGCCGCCGCCCGGTGGACCGAGGAAAACTGCCGTCGCCCACGCCAACCGGTGCCCACATCGCGCTCTGATTCTCATGCACAGCGGTACTTACTGCATTCCTGTGGTGGCATGTGCACTGCATGCTTTCTAATACATACACAAAATCGTTCAAACAATCCATTATTCTCGCAATAAAGAAACCGCGGCCATGTCATGGTGCACAAATCAAGGCTTTTGTGTAGCCTGCAAGTGAAAAGTCTCGTGAGAATTCCCCGGATTCGTGGGTAGTGTCCACGTCTGTCGTGGTGTCTATTTTGACACCAGACGCTTTTGGCTGCATGGCGAAGGCGAGCGCTACCAATAAACCTGTTATCAGGGGACACCTGACCGCCCATCAAACCATCCTTTCCTCCTCTATCCTCGGCCCATGAACGGGCCATCAGAGGGCACCTGGGCCGGTCCGTCATTGGCGGCCGAGCGCCAACATAAAAGGTGCCGCGTGGCCACCCCAAACCGGGTCAGGCGGACCCGTTCCCATGGCTGCAACCCGGTCAGGGTCGGAGAGCGGCCGGCGGGACGGGGCGGCCGGTGAGATGGCTGCCCCGCGGGGCTGGTCCTCGGCGGCCCCTCACCCTGCCACTCCCTGTATAGGTGCTCGGTCCGTCCCCGCCTGTTGTGCTGGACAAGAGCCCCCTGCCAGCTCCATGAGCCGTGCGCGGTGAGCGGTGACGTCAGCGCTGTCACAGTGACACACACCTGGTGACAGCTGACATCCCCTCCCCCTCCGGGAGGGGCCGGCCGACGTCAGGGCTCATCTCTCATTCATTGACGGGCTGGTAGACAGCGGGGCGCCTTCTCGGCTAACCAGCAATCTATCCGTCTAGCCTGCAGCTGTATCCAACTGGTAACATACCCACCCATGCATTGAAACCACATTTGTAATGCAAAACAGAACCGGCCCCATTAGTTCTATTCAAAGGCAGGCAGACACCCGTTGATGTGTTCGAGGAAGGCCTCTCTGTGTTAATTTGCCGACGTGTATGAGTTTCAGGGACTAAATTCCACTGTGTAAATATGACCGTGCCGACCTCTTCTGACGGCGTTCTGTCTGGTCCTGCCGCCGGCTGCGATAGGAGGGGCTGGGTCGAGGTCTGCGCCTACCCCCAGGACAGGACCACTCCTGACATCTCGCCGGCCTTTCCGACCTGATTAGCCGGTGTCCGTGGCAGGTGCCCACCGCCGGACACTGCCCGTCCCCGCCGGTAATCACAGTCCTGGCGTCAAATACCGGCGTAAATATACTCCGCTGAACGCAGCCGGCGGCCGCCGAACGCACGCCAGTGTTATGAAACGCGCGCTATTAACGCGATTTATGCCCGGTTTAATGCGTTTTAAATCTGTTAAAGCGTCGATACATTTCGGTAATTGTGCCTATTATGCAAGTTTGACTAATGCGATGATGGTCTGATTTCAGATGAGGAGAGCGTTCTGAAGTTTTCCGGCAATCTCTCGCACAACGATCACTTCAAATTACTGGAGCGGGACGGCAATTCACTTCTAATCGGCGCCAGGTAAGAGGCTTTAGGACGGTGAAGGCGCCGTCTATGGCTGGCTCAGACACTGGATTGTGTAAATATCCCCAGGTGTAACGTTTAAATGCTTAACAACACTCTAATAAAAAGGTGAACCAATATCCACCATGGATGTTACCAAATATTGTAAAATGCATACTAAAGTTTTCTTTAAGTATGGTTCGTGTGAGTTTCGTCATAATCGTTTTACTGACTTTGCCTCATTCACCGTACTGCTATGTTTTCACCACATTTATTTATTTGTTTTGCTTCGGTTTCTTGTATAGCGGCTTAGCAGTCACGAGGTGCCGTGCTGAACGCTTCCCGGATCTGTCGGGCTTCCATCGAACACCTGTTCGGTGTAATCACGCGGCGCTCGTGGAATGTGCGGTCTAGCGGCTCTGTATGACGCGGAATGGCGCCGCGGGAGGCTCCTGATGGCATGGGTCACCGAGAGGTCACCGCCGGACACGCTTCACCGCGTCTGCTGTACCGCGTGTGAACGGCACGTTTCTGAGACAGCTGTCGTCAACTAGCTGTCGTTCTTCGGTTTTCTCGATGAATCGATCGCTTCTTGGGTTATCCTACAGTTTCCCCTCAGTCATACGCGAATTGCTCTCGGTCGAAGCTATATGAATCTGTCGCTTCTTGGTTCTTCCACAGCCGTCACGGGCCGCGGTTGTCCATCGGTTTCATTTTTCGGTCATCGCGCGGGCGGTCTCTCGACTGTCTCTCGGTCTCGGTCTTACTGGGATCAAGTGATGTGTCGCACAACGACAGCCCAAAGGCTGGTCGGGCCGGACTGGTCGGTGCACTCAGCCATCTCGTGCTGACTCCTCTCCGACCAGGATTATCATACACAGCGGCACGCCACGAGCCAGCTTTTAGCGGCGCACCCAGCCCGGGCGCTAAGACTGAGCTTAGCGGGCCAGCCCGAGAAAACACGAGATGAGCCCGCTGTCGGCCGGAGGACCAGCTCGGTGAGCAGCGTCTGGCGTGGGCCTACATTCTGCATTGGTGCTCAGTAGACCGTCCATGGCAGCATGCTCTATGGCATGGGACTCCGTTCCAAAGCCCCACGCGGGCACCGCCGGAGCACCGCAGCATCACCCTGCGTGTCACCATGTGCGTGTGCGTGTGGCGTGTGCACGCACCGTTTGGTGGTGATGATGCAGTCTGGAATGGGGAGAGGAAGGAACAATGGACTGAGAGGTCGTCCGATTGCCCTCTTCCGGTCCGCTCGGTATTGGGCGCGCTGATTGGTGCCACTGATGGACCAGAGCCGCTCCCGTCAGACACGGCGGTGGGAATGGGAAAGGGCGGGATGATGGAGGGAGGGATATAGGGTGGGGATCAAAATCCAAAGAGATATGAAGCCGAAACGGCCGCGCTTAAAAATCCTTGGAAGGGTTGTCGCGCAATCCGGGCAAGTCTATACTAACGCGCGTTTTTGTGTGTTCAACGTCTTTGTTCAGCGTCTCATTCATTTGTCAAGAACCTTGTTACTTAATTTGTTCATGCTGATTTAATTTGAACATAACTTCACATAACACGACTCTTGCCAACGTTCATCATGCATGTTTTGGTTGCAATTTGCATGCATTCTCTGTGCAAGAGTATACGGGGAGCAGAGGCAGAGGACCACGCTTATGTTGTCGACCACCGGGTCAGCGGGTTTACCAGCGTTGACGTGTAATCACTTCTGTATTGAGTGCTTCATCTACTGCAGAACACCGCCGCAGTAATTGCCGGCCTGATGTATTTGTTAATTTTCCTACTGAGTCATTATTGAGATGGGAGCTATAACTCTGCAGCACTGCCGGCCGCCGGACCTGACATATCTCCATCGTTACACGCGGTAATCGCCCGGGGGCGTTCGGGCCAGCTCCAGGGGCGTGTCCCGACCTCGTGGGCGGCGGCCTCTCTCTTCTGGGCCGCCCTTCTACCGACTGGCGCCCGCTACTCATTGCCATTTGGGCGTCCGGTGTAATCAATCAGCTGTCGGACCCCGAATCTCGCCCGGCCGCTGTCAGTCAGTGCCGTCCGAGCGTCTCCGTCGGGTCTCTGGCCAGCTCACCGGTCCCCCAGCCGGAGACCGGTGTGGTCCGGACCAGCGGCGGACCGGTCCAACCGGTCCGGCGGTGCCGCCGCTCAGCGCCCGCTCAATGCTAGCCGGTCGGCTTTTTTCGCGTGGCGACTGGCCGCGCGCGGCGCCGGCCTGAGCAGGCCCCTGGCGCGTGGCGCCGGACTTACATGAAGTAATCTTGACTGGACTTACCCAAGGGTTCCGTGGGGCTGGACTAGCCCAGGGGGCTGAGGTATTGGGATAACTCGGGGTCCAGGATGACTGGATGATTAGAGCGATCTTCTGAGGTGAGAACACGAGGGCAACGTCTAAGTCGGGGCCCTTGGGACTGAATTGAACGGCGTCCGTGCGCGGTCCAGCCTGACCTACGGACCAGTACCCGTCAGTAACCTGACTGCAGTCCCCCAAGACCACATCTTCGGGGACACTAATACCATGCAGAAGCCCAATGCGCATATGCAAGCATTTATTGTTGGCGATGTATAATGAATGAGCCAGTAAATCTGTCCTAACAAATATGGCGCTCGATAGCCTAGTTGAGCTAAAGCGCTCAACTAGAAACCTTGGCTCAGCCAAATAGACATCCTCGGAGCAAGATAGGTATATGCCAGATCGTGTTTCTTTGTTTCCTTCCTGCAGACCCGTGAGTGTTGGACTATCTGTTGCATGTATTTAGTTCCATCAAACGCAAAACAAGCAGTTCTTAAAATGTCTGACACAGCGCCGTCTTCCCCCACAGGAACATCGTGTTCAACATCAGTCTGACGGACCTGACGGAGCGGCGCGACGAGCGACTCGAGTGGCACTCGGATCCACAGGACGTCCAGCTCTGCATCATGAAGGGACTCGACGAGGTAATGCATCACGCGACCCCTAACCTCTACATCTAACTGCGACTCAAAAGTTCACCCGTACGCACTGAATCCCTGCAGTTTGTCATTTTTCTATAAACAATCGATAATGCGTATATGCTCTACCATCTAAACGAGCAGTGACCACTGGAGTTTGAAGTTTGAACTGTATCCTTCTGAGCTCGGAGGTCGGGGTCAGTGTTTCCGCCGATATGCCAATGACCTTTCTCCACAGTCCACGCTCACTGTGACCGATGGTCCGTGAGTCCTCACCCTCTGATCGGTCGGTGTTCCCGGACCATCGCGTCGGTCCCATGGTCCCAGAGCCGGCGGCAGTCCTCTCAGCGCGTCCAGGGGAACCGTCCGCTCGGGCTGCGTCCGCTCATCCTGTGCACAGCGGACGTCCTGTCGGCTGCCCCGGCATGGCTCGGCACCGCGCTCCGCCGATCCGTAGTGCCGCCTGCGAGGTCCTGGAGGTCACCGCCTCACTCCTCGCCATCTCTGGCTTTGTTTGATCCCTCTCAGTATCGGCGTTTTTGCTCGTAACTGGTCCATAGTGCGTTATTTCATTTCCTCGTCGCCAGCGGTGTTTTACAGGGTCGTAAATAACGCCCCTTTACGGAGGGGACGGCCGTGGGCAATGGCCGGGGGAGAGCCGCTTCGCCAGCTCGGTGCGTACCTGCGCCGCTTTACCTGCCGCTTTACTGCCGGTTCTTGTTAGTCTGCAGCCGCCATGGGAGGTCGGCACTGCGCCAGGTCGGGCTCTGGGGCAGGTCGGTCAGTCACTCCGTGCTCTATTGATCAGGTCTGCTGCTGTGTATGCTGCTGCGCCTGCAGTAAAACCTCGTGAAGTCGTCCATCTGAAGGGCCAGGGGTCCAGGTTTGTCGAGATCGTGCCCTGTTGCGGTCTCAGTGTGTCCGGAAATAGCGTCCTGTCTGTTTACCAGCCGGCTATTGGGCCAAGTCTGCGTGTTGAGCGTGCAGTCTTCGAGTGATCGGAGTACTGGCAGGCTCTACTAAAACAGACATACAGATCCTAAACCGAGCTGCCATGGACCCTGGCAGTGACCTTTTGAGCTCCCCAGCTCCCTTTCCTTCCGAATTGGCTCCCTGACCGCATTCTTAATTCTCTGGGCCTCCAGTCTCTTGATCCCTTGCTGGGTCTCCACATTGCATACTGCCCGATTCCTCTGCAGCTCTTATACCCTCTCGTTCAGCCCCGCTCTTCATGACCGCGTGTCAATACTCCTGGCCTGCTGCAGCCACTGACGATATTAGGCACAACACTGCGGCACAGCGGGCGGCCAGTGCCGCAGCAGGCCAGCGTGCGTGTCAGTGTCACTAGCGGCGTGTCAGTGTCGCTGGACAAACGATACCATTCACGGCGACGGCAGGCTTTGTTTCGACACATTGTTGGTTCGCTGCACCACATGGCAGCGGGACATTGAGCCCTGCATTGTACGTCAGCACCTTCTATAGTGTTCGGTTGTGTGCTCGTTTGCCGTATTGTATCGACCACGTCATGTGTGTGGCCTCATGCCGACGTGCCTGATGTATCGCTGACATATAGACACACGAGCTGCTGCTTCTATATGTCTCGTGAATTTTTGAAAGTCCACTTTGCTGTGTATTGTGTTTCACGCTTCTCCGCTCTTGTTTTCACCCTGCAGGAGGCGTGCCACAACTACATCCGTGTGCTGGCCAAGCGGGGAGACGAAGAGCTGTTCGTGTGTGGCACCAACTCCTACAAGCCGCGATGCCGCAACTATAAAAAGAACCCGGTATGTGTTTGGGCTGCTATAGAATATAATGACGTGGCATCATCTCGCTATCGTTTACTACATCCGTCGATCCGCGTTTTGATTATTCAGTATCAATAAATCAGTATTTAGTACTTTTCATATTTACTTTAATGCCCTAGTGTGTCTGGGTGCACGGTTGTCGGTCCACTGGTGACCGCAGTGGGTTGGCTCCATGCGGCCTCCCGCTCGTGGCGCGGCAGCGGAGGCCAATGTCTGACCTCGCAGATAGCACGAGCCGTGTTTACTCTCCCAGCTGCAAACCGCGTCTCTGTGGGCCTCAGTTTGGGGCACTTCTGCGTACGGAGGCATGCCAGTCCCCGGGGGCCGGTTCGGTTCGGCGGAGATGAGATACCGGCGTTATACGGGCGATCCATGCCGCTTCAGCGTACTGTTTTCACTTCTGCTAGCGCTGAGAATGTGTCAGTGTGAGTGTAGCAGTGTGACATGCAGGGTTTATATTTGTCTCTGTTAGTCTACCTGTGTGCCCTTAACTACCCCGGTCCGGTACTAACGATGCTGTATCTCTCCAGGAGCTGGGTTACGTTCCCGACGGCACAGAGCGGGACGCTCGAGGCATCTGTCCGTACAGTCCAAAACACAACAGCACCGTCACATTTGTCGGTAAGTTCCACACACACTCACACACACTCTCTCTCTCTCTCTCTCTCTCTCTCTCTCTCTCTCTCTCTCTCTCTCTCTCTCTCTCTCTCTCTCTCCTCTCTCTCTCTCTCTCTCTCTCTCTCTCTCTCTCCTCTCTCTCTCTCTCTCTCTCTCTCTCTCTCCCTCCCCCTCTCCCTCTCCCTCTCCCTCTCCCTCTCCCTCTCCCTCTCCCTCTCCCTCTCCCTCTCCCTCTCCCTCTCCCTCTCCCTCTTCCTCTCCCTCTCCCTCTCCCTCTCCCTCTCCCTCTCCCTCTCCCTCTCCCTCTCCCTCTCCCTCTCCCTCTCCCTCTCCCTCTCCTTCTCCCTCTCCCTCTCCCTCCCCCTCCCCCTCCCCCTCCCCCTCCCCCTCCCCCTCCCCCGTGTCTCTATCTTTGACCCTGGAGACTCGGCCAGTGTCGCCAGCCGGCTCTCCAAAGACACCGACTCAACTCCCGGTTCACCTCTCTCAGAGACACTTTCTCTCCGCGGCGCAATAAGCGCTAATCTGAGTCGCCGGGCCCCTCGGTATCCCGCCGCGGATCTGCAAGCCATGCTCATGTCATTGCGGCACGGCGCTCGAGAGCGATGGACACAGAGGCATGCGGCCACTTGCGTTGTTGATCGGCTCTGTTGCGCAAAGCGTCGGCCTTTCTCGCTATTATCATCATTTGTTTCGTGATTGAGCTGTTGGTTTTTACTTTCGTTTGTTCTTTTTGACTGGTAGGTAGCTAATGTTTACGACTTACGATGGCTTTCAGCTAAGGGGCTATGATTGCAACCTCAGAGCTACGATTGCAATCGTTGCTCTGAGGCTATGCTCAAGTGGCTGCTGCTTTGCGTTCTGACGGATCATTTGTGCACGTTTCAGACGGTGAGCTGTTTTCTGGCACGGTGGCCGATTTTGCCGGCTCCGATCCACTCATCTATCGCCATCCGCTGCGCACCGAACAGTCGGAGCTCAAGCAACTCAATGGTAAGCCCAGTCTATGGTGTATATCAACACAAATCACCTGTTTCTTAATCTTGCACGTATATAATAACGGCTCCTCTGCATGCCTACATCACGTCACCAATAATCGTCCTGTCCCAGAGAACCCACCGAGCAATTTATGAAGGTCATAATTTATGGAGCACCTCGCACCTGGACCTACGGTCATAGTCAACATGTGACCAGCAGACTGCACTGTCGCTTCATCGACCAACGCCGTCGACATCGATTTGTTGCACCGGCATCAATGTTCACGCCTCCGCTTGACACGACTCGCCGAGTTTTTTCCCTCGCTGGCGTGAATCGACGTGCGACTGATTTGTTGTGCCGTGTGTATTAGCACCTGAGCGCGCCAGATTTACCTGGCGATTCGTCGGAACTGGCGGCGCGCCGGTATGTCGGCCTGATCCCCATCACGGATTCGAGCGCCGATGCGGCCCGAGCGGCGCTCGTCGTCGGCGGCGCTCGCGATGACGTCTGGAGTCCACCGCGGGGGCCGGGGGCTGCGCAAAAACCCTGTGTCGTGTCGACCATCAGAATGGCAGGCATGCTGCGCATTTTACCGCTCAGACGACCCGCACACGCGAATGTCCGGAACTGCCTCGGTGGCGTCCCCCGGCACTGCTCGGCTCTGGGAATGCTGATGAATAGCCAAATTCCCCTCCACAAGCTGCACGCATCCACTGAAGCAGCTGGAGGGTAAATTTTCGGTGCAAGGTTTTTACAGAGGCGTATCGATACCCATTTTGCACGGCACGCACAGTGGGGATTCCTAAAAAGGAGCTGAGGTTTCCGGCGATATGGATCAGGTCGCGCACTGCCCACTGCCCACCTACACACGCCCTTGCATGAATGCATATAGCACATGCAAAAATGTCGCGTAGGAGTGCACACCATCTACGCCGGCCTCTTGGGGCATACGTGCCGGTGATACCCGTGTACCGCTATAGCCCCGTACCGTCTGTGCTCGTGTACCACTGTACCCCAGTACCCTCTGTACTCGTGTACCACTGTACCCGTGTACCGTCCAGTGCCGTGATGTGCCAGCAGCTGCAGTAAATAACGGGCCCAACAAACCGAGTCCGGCAACAGAATACCTGCGCGGCCACCGACCATCCACACAAACAGATTTATCACCAGAAATGAACTGGGGAAATGAGCCCATAAATTAGAGGATGTAATGGCTCATACGCTCCTAAAGTGGAACATTCCCACGGGCTTATTCGAGCCAGATGCAATCATGGCCCACATTCTTCTTAGCCTTCCCACATGAAAGGTCGCAGTAGAGATATAGTGAAGTTAAGGGCGGGTGGCGCTGATACGGCGTTTGGTTTACTGTTATAGTGTTATGGTCTTTTCGGTCGAGCGAAACTGCGCGATAACGAATGCTTAGCGATAAATATGTCGGATGCTCCAGATAAAGCTCCCTTTACCGTCTACCTCTACCATCTTCTATCTTGCCGTCTACCTTCTACCGTCCACCGTCTACCATCTACCATCTACTATCTAACCGTTTACCGTCTACCATCACACCGTCTGCCATCTACCTCTGCCGTATTCCGTCACCATTTATTATCTAACCGCCTACCATCCACCGTTCACCGTTCACACCACGATTTTATGTTCACATCCACCGTTCACCTTCGTACCGTCGTACCGTTCATGGTCAGTCCAGTCTCGGGTTTACCCAGAACGTGTGTCTGCCGGCTAAATCGGCTGAGGTACATAGAACAGTAGAAGGTCATCGGTAGGAGCCGTCCCATGCACGTGCCCCACTTCAAAGGACGGCGGCGGAGGCACGTGCCACGGTGCCGGCCGCCCGTGACCCGTGGGACGGCACGTGGATAGGGTGTGGTATATCATGCGGACCGTCTAAGAGGGCTTGACGAGGGGCATCTTCACAGTACTGATCGCCATCACCGTTTACACTTTTACAGTTATGGACGGGGTGACGTCAACGATGATTCGCTACTGACGCTCTGCCTTTGTGCCGAATCGGAACCGTTCTTCTGACGTTATTGCACCTGAAAATTTGATTTGCAATTTGTGTATGATTGCGCGCAACAATACTGAGTGCATTGGGCTAGTTGTATCTGTTTACTGCTATACCCGAATTCATTTGTCCCGACTTTGACATCAGCTTTTGCCTTTTCAAAGGCGCAAAGGATATGAGATCTCACCGCAGAGGAAAGACCGTTATAAGCCGATTTAGCCGGCTGGGATCAGGGTCACGATCCGTTACACTGGGACAGTGTCTTGTCTATGGTCTGCAGTTCAGTCGCTACTACACCACCACAGTACCACAAACACTCATCGCTCGGCAAGATTGAAACCCTCCCCTGCTTGGTCCGCGCCACCGCGGCATGCCATATGGAGCTCGTCCGAGCGAGTGATTAACTAAGTGCCGCCGATGAGGGACGATGTTTGCCGTCTGTGGTCCGATGACGCCATTACACCATCAGCCGGCCCCACATTCCGACGCTGACCGCCCTGTGAAAAACGCCACTGCGACGCGCCACTTCTATTCATCGCTGCGCCGCCGCGCTCGTTGGAGGCCGCTGCAGCATAAACGGCCGTCTATTGAAGTGAATAAAACAGGCCTTTCACCACGGTCATGCCATGTTGCTTTAGTCGACTGCGGTGATCGCCGAACGTTTGTCTGCTGCGGCCACTCAGTCGGCAGTCCAAAATGATCCTGAACTTCACTAAAACGATCCTTCCTTTTTCTTTTGCAGTTCGCTGATCAACCTTGCAATTTGTCTTAATTTCCATTTTCGATGGACATGTTTTGCTACTTTTTCATTTAAGCATAAGTTGAGCCATTTGTCATGCATTTTTCATTAACACATCTTTAGCGTATCCATTTTCTTCCGTTTAGCGCTGCTGGCGTTCCCGAGGGCGGAGGCGGGGCGGGATGGGAGGCGGCTCTGGCGGTCGGCGGAAGGTGCGGGTGTCTGCCGCCTGTTTACACTCCCGTCCGTGTAAACGGCTGACGGTAGCCGGCGTGGCTATATCGGGCTCAGTAGGGGTAAACAGTGTCTGCCAGCCCCCAGGCGGAGCTACCCCGACGGGCGAGCTCGGCTACTATTACCGATGACGGATAGTCGTCCGCCGCCGCCTCCAACGCCCACCGTATTCACACGTAATGCGTGTATTGACGCCAGCGTCACTCGCGATTTATTTTTGTCCATTGTCATTTCATCGGACCGCGACAAAGGACGATCGACATTGATCGTGGTAGATGATCGTCGACGGCTTTGTGCGACTGGGGCAGGGGCCACATGCAGACCTGGGGAGACGGTGCGAGCCGTTGGCGGCGGTCTAATGTCTAAGGACGGTAACTCTCGGAACTCGCCACACAATTTCGCTGTAATATCGCAGAGGAGCGGGAAATACGGTGGGAGCCGCCACCTGCCGGTGCGAGCGGCGGAGGCCGGTCGTAAGTAGCGCTCCGTCTCAGGTGCGCGGCTGCTGTCCGTCCTCTCGACCCGGCCGACCGACACGTGACAGCGGATGTCGCCATCCACTAATTCCGGCCGCGCAGGCTGTCGATCGGACAACTTCATCATCTCGGTTTGTGTCGCTCGCCGGCACGGCGTGGTAGTTTGATCGGCATTGTCTTCGGATCCGCAGCGCGCTGTGTCGGACATTCCATTTGACTAAGCCTCGGAACCGGACTGGGAATCACGTGTATTGCTGTGACACGCTCAGTCGCAACAATTACGAGGATTTCAATTGATTCAACATACCTGTATTATCTCTCATATTTATCATTGCATTATGCAAAATCAGTGCTTAACTGTATTTGAAACTTGTTTTAATTAACTCACGAACCACAAAGCTTGTGCAATTACTTACATTTGATGGAGACCGTCAAAATGCGGCGCTTGTAACTGCATATTGCATAGCACGTATACGCTCTGGACAGAGACAATGCGGCTCACGATCCTTCCAGCCGTCCGTGTGTTAGAGATTACCTACTAGCGAGGCCGTCTCCTACCCCCGCCAGCCGTTTTCCCGCCGTGTGATGACGTGGATGACGTGTTGACGCGGATGACGTGATGCGGCACCGACAATGGCGGCCGCCGTGCCGTCCTGTTTTCCTCCCAGCCGTCGACAGGCGGACTCGACTCCGACCAGCCCGCCAAGGACGCACACTCGGCCAGTCGCAAAATGCTGTTGTATTTGGCTCCGTACATAGGCCAACTATGTGTTATGAAAGTGAACGGCGGGGCTTTTTTGCGCCCGGCTGGTTGGCGTGAGGAGCAGCTGGATACTGCGACCACAAAACTCGGAAACAATGCTCGCGGTGGTCGCCTTTTGCGTTCGTATCGAGCGCCATGTCCGCTGGCGTGATGGTTGAGCCCATGTCCTGTTCGTTTTCAGCTCCGAGTTTCGTGGGTTCGATGGAGTACGGAGACCACGTGTACTTCTTCTTCCGAGAGACGGCCGTCGAGTACATCAACTGCGGAAAGGTATGTCCGAATTTGTGGTCATGTCAGGAGGCACGGCAGCCGTTGCCTGCCTGCAGTATGCATACGGTCCGCCCTGCCCGTGCCAGCAGCAGCCTGGCTCCATAAAAATGCACCCCACTTCGCCAAAGTCCCTGCCGGCACATGTGGGGATGGGTCACGTGATGGTACCGGACCCGACATTGCTGAAATTCCGGAATCGCGGCCAGGCAGGCATGTACTCCACCGGCCAGGCTTGTAGCGCCCGCCCTTGGTCTGCCCATAAAGGAGCTCAAGCGCTGCGCTCAGCGCAACTTCTGTCGAAAACCGAACGCTTCCATCGGCTGTCAGTCTCAACACGGCACGCTCAAATAGAAGTTGAATCAATCACAGGTCGTTCACAGTCGTTTTTTGTGATGCCGAGCTGACAGGCGGGTGCGTTCGTGTCAACGGTTCCGATGTGACTGGGTTACAAAGTGAAGGGACCTATGGGCGAGACAGATATAGGACGGAATGGACGAAACGGGTCAGAAATATGACTGGACTGACTGAACGGAACGGGACGGTCACAGGAGAGGACGGACACAAGGGGGACAGGACGGGACTGGGACAGGACGGGGCGGGGACAGGACGGGCCACGGACGGGCCCGTCCACCACTGCACGGTTGCCACGCTCGCTCGCCCGTCTGCCCACCTGTCACCGGTCACCCGTCACGAGCCGAGGCACGGATTACCCAACACGAACCGGTCAGCCCTGCAGCCATCTGCCCAAAAATAGCCGTCCGTCAGAGACTTGTCACACCGTCTCACGTTACTGACTCACATTCAGCCTCGCCTGTCACGACTGATGTGCATTAGAGACCAGGTCACGTGCGGCGGCCGACCGGCGCAAAGATCTTGCTGCTAGTCCCGCCTTATAACGCTGACCATTTGATCACGTGATCACCCTGCCATGTGCCTTCTCCACAGAGGGTCTACTCCCGCGTGGCTCGCGTCTGCAAGAAGGACCAGGGCGGCTCGTACAAGCACAGGTACAGCTGGACGTCATTCCTGAAGTCGCGGCTCAACTGCTCGATCCCGGGGGACTATCCCTTCTACTTCGACGAAATCCGTGAGTGGAGCCATTCTACAGTTTGTCGTGACCGGTCTTGATTAGCATCAGAGGAAAATGGGGACCGGCCCGCAGTGCTAGACTTGCAAGGTATCATTAGGGGCTCAATGCTGGTGGTCATGATGCTTATGTAAGGTAATTGAATGGATGTAATGGAATACTGATATCAAAACTGCCATACACATTTTAGAAAAGGGGTTGTTCCGACATCTAGTCAGTATGTTATTGCTGATTTAATTCACATCAATGTTAAGAAACGATCATTTCTTCTCATTATTACAAGAACTATGTCCTAAATGATGTTCCGTGATGACCATTTCTATCAATAGGTAACCTAAGTTATGAAGCTATAAGCGTTGCGAACCGCAGTTATTGCTGATGTTTTTGTGATCAAGACCATCTCATCAACATCCGTTTATGTAACACGCTCGTAGGCTCTCCAAGCAGATCAATAACGGCTGAAGTTGCGATGTCACCATCGTCGTGTGGCAACTGGGCATTGAGCGCGCCGCAGCGAATTTCCATCAGCATCACCGTTCTAGCCCATCTGCCGTCTCGCTGAGTCGGCCTCCATGCACTTTGTCTTATCACCGGCCTTTTAAAACCGCATTGGAGTCGGCGTTAAATTTGCATTCAGCCGTCCAAACTTTTGGCGTAAAGTTTCGTCCCGAGCGTGCGGGCAGTGAGTAATGCATCAATAAAGGACAATGAATAATTTAACAGCTGCGACTCATGGAGCCCCGTCAGGCAGCGACCCAGCAAAGCGGGTCCGCTCTGTCCCGGTGATCACATCAGCGACCCGGTCCGAGCGGGACAATTGCGGCCCCATAAAACCATCTTCCTGTTCCTCGTCTTCCTAAGAGGAAATAGAGTTCCGCGCGACCGCCAGAAAAGTCTTACACTCCGTGGGAAACGAGCACACGGGGCCGTTATGTCGGGACTCGCTCAGAACTAAAGCTCCCATGGGCTGCAGCCTCTTCTGCTAAGTCGTCTGGACGGGAGGACGAGCCTGCTAAATTAAATACCCATCCGTTCTCCGGTATGCGCTCGCTGTGAGACGCCCGACAGAGGGGCTGACGGCTGGCGCCAGTGGAGCTCTCGTGGCACTCACTCGTTAGCGTCGTGTTTATTTTCACCTCTGCAGTCGGCGTCACCTCGGTGCCGAGCAGAGATGGTCGGCAGTGCGCTAAATACCGGCGGGGAGGGGGTGAGTCTGCGGCAATGTGTTGGGCATCACACGGAGCCCCCGGGTAAACATTGACGCCATCCGAGATACCGGTAGGTGACATGTGACCCTTCGGTGCCTCCTGAGCGGCGCGGGCCGTCCGACTCCATGACTGACCGCTCCGTGTCCCCTTGTTCGTCGTCAGAGTCGATTTCGACGGTGCAAAGCGGCGTGTACGGCGGCCGACCCGAGGAGGTGCTCTACGCCGTCTTCACCACGCCCGTCAACAGCATCCCCGGCTCGGCCATCTGCGCCTTCCGCATGACCGACCTGGTCGACACGTTCGCCGGCGCCTTCAAGCACCAGGAGGACATGAACTCCAACTGGCTACCGCTCAAGAACTCGCAGGTACCCAGTCCGCGTCCGGGCCTGTGCGTCAACGACTCTCGCCAGCTGTCGGACGCGCACCTCAACTTCATCCAGTCGCACCCGCTGATGGACGGCGCCGTGCCGTCGCTGCACGGCCGGCCGCTGCTGGCGCGCACCAGCCTGCGGCACCGCTTCACCAAGATCGCAGTGGACCCGCAGGTGCGGGCTGCCGACGGAACACTCTACGATGTGCTCTTCATCGGAACAGGTGAGCGCTCGGACACTGTCCTGGGGTCTGTGGGCTGCTCTGTAACCGGAGATACCCGGCAGACATCAGTGGGATAGATCTCCGACTGTCTTCAGCTCATAACCACCGTGGGAATTGCGGTCAGCGGTCGTGCCTTCCCACCAACACACGCTCCGCTAGCTCCGGCGTTAACCCGCGGGACACGTGCAGGGGGCGGTCCCCGCGCCGTTGCGGGGTGGACGGTTGTTCCAAGTGTGCTGCAGCCGCGCTGCTACATGTCCCCTTCCCGCAGCGCTAGCCGGCCTCGGCCACTGCCAGGTGCGGCGACAGAAATAATGCACCGTCCAGATTTAGACGCTATCTTGAGCGGCGTGATAGTGTTTTGGTGTCACGTACGCGGCAGGGTGCTGCAGAGCCGAGCCGGCATTAGTGGCTGCCGCTGTGTGCAGTTACTGCAAATGGCATTCAATGTGTTCAGTCTACTGTGCACTACTGTTCATGGGTAGTGAGATACTGTGAGCTGTTGCTGACGGAGTGCCGTGGCAGCTATGTTACGCTTACCAACCAGCTGTCATCACTGCCTGCCGTTTCGATGGATGTCCGTAACCAGTCCCAACCGTCCCTCTGCCGTCTGTCTCGCCTGGGGTTCCTGATGTCCCTCTTCCTCCGTCAGACAACGGCCGGGTGCTGAAGGCGGTGAACGCCGCCTCTGGCTCCGGCACGGTGCGCGCCGAGCCCGTGCTCATCGAGGAGCTCGAGGTGCTGGCCAGCGGCGCGGCCATCACCAACCTGCTGGTCTCGCGCCAGCCGGACGCGCCGCCGCGCCTGATCGTCGTCACCGATGACGAGGTGCGCGCGCTGCCGCTGCACCGGTGCGGCGACAAGGCGTTGCGCTGCGCCGACTGCGTGCGCCTGCAGGACCCGTACTGCGGCTGGGAGGCGGCCGGTCAGCGGTGCGCGCCCGTCGACTCGCCCGCCTGGCCCGAGGGCGTGGCCGTGGTGCAGAACGTCAGTCACGGTGTCCATCCGCACTGCGCTGAAGGTGAGTATCGGCAGAGGACGTCTGCTCCCCGTTCCCCTCCGCTGATGAATGAGCCCCCTGCTCCGCCGAGTGGGCGATGTATAATACACAGGACAGACACACATACTAACGGCTGATCGTGACGGACGGCTCACACATGGCTGGCGAGATGTCCACACAAACTGACCGCCGACTGGTCGGGCTGCTCACTGCGCTCTGCGCGCGGAGCGCGCACATAACCACGATCAGAATCAGGCCACCGCTACCGCATACCTCGAGTACCGGCACAAAGGGACGTTATCACATTCTCATGGCGATACCATGCGAGATGTTGGGCTGAACAGTGAACAGCATGTAGTTTGTGTGTCTCCCGAAACTTTCACGCACGTACTTACTCACGGTATGTGGGACACGCTATGTTATCGCACACAGCGAGAGTGATGTGAACATTGTTGCCTAGCAAGGCCTGTGACAAAACGTGCAACTATCCGCTTCATATAAGTATGCTGAGAAATGCTGCTGTTTTAACCAGGAAAACAAGTCATGCGTGTGAACTCTGAGAACGTCACAAAGGGCATCGTCTCACATTGTGTCGCCGTTGTTCTCTGGTCAAATGACTGAAGCATTTGTTGAATATTTGGCTGTTTTAGAGACTCGTTTATCGTTAATTGTCCGGTAATTATATAATCTGAATCGTCTGAAGTCATAATTATTCATCTGACCAGACATGTTCGTCGTATCATTATTATTGATATATTCCGAGCCGCTGTAACGTTTATATAAAACAGGCTGGCTCATCCGTATTGGGTAATATTTACATAATACCAGCGGTCACTGCCCGCTTCCGCATTTAGATAAACATGCTGTTATCCGTGAATGCAATTAGTCAACTGTAAATGTAATAAGTGTAATGTTATCAATTTGACTTTATCTTACAATGCTCTCTTTTTCAGACGACGCCCGATACGAGGAGGAGCTGTACTTCGCCACTATTCCCAGTGAGTCCTCTTTACATATTTCTGGTGGTTGTGTGTTTCCTTTATGCATTGTTTCGGGTAGTAGCCAGTTTGCACATCACGTCTTTCGTCTGTTTCGACATAGATGTCCTTTTCTTATCTCGGACTGGTCACCCTTTACACGCAGTTTTGTTACACGCGGGACACCAGCACCGTTTTATTCGCACTGCCGGGCACGCTGCTGCTCCACGTGCCTGCTTGTCTGTCTGTCTGCGCGCACTGTCTGTGTGTCGGCTGTGTCTGTAGCGGCGGTGTGTCTGTCTGCTTGTTGTAGCTCCTCCCAGCACGGCGTCCAGTCCTCCGGAACCATGTGTCTGCGGCTCCGGGTCGGCTCCGGCCGGATCCGGGCAGGACTCCGACTCTGGAACCAGTACCGATGCAGATACCGATACAGACACAGATACAGATACCGATACTGACGAGGATATCGATACTGACAACGACACGAGCATCGTTGAACTGCTAGGTCAGTAAGAACAGTTGACATTTTCTGCAATCTACAAAGCCTTTGGCCAGTAAATTCTCAGTAGATTTATTGTGCTTGCATGTTGAATATTTTATTTGATTAGACGTTTTGCATCGTTCGGTATATTAATTTCAAACAAAAGTCATGGTCATCATAATACTGACGAACGATAATTCACTCACATCTACCATTAGTTTCACGGAATTAATTTTGCTTTAAGGGCGGAATATTTTAATCGCATCGACAGCGATAAGAAAAACGTCGAATTAAATGAAAGACGTTAATGAATAACGCATCGATGGTGTTTTCGCAGAAACGAAAAATGACAGAGAACTGTACAGTGCGGTTGACGAGACTGGGAAGGTGTATGACATCCTTGAACGCTCGAAGTCGTACACCCTCGGGCAGGCGACAGGTAAGGGTGATGTCCCGCCAGCCGAGCCGCCTCTATTGCTGCAGTGCTAGTCATGGTGGTGGGTCTTGTCCCGTCTAAACAAACAGATCGTATATTGCTGCTTCATAGGCAGGTGAAGCCCACAAGGTGAATGGGATCACACACGGGCTTTGGAAAAGACTTGGATGCTTCTATTTGCCTGATCTATGAGATTGCTCTTGGGAACTTAGCAGCTTTCGAAACAATCTTCTTTGCCACTATCATCCGTTCTAGTTTGCGCTTTTGAATGACTAGTTTGGATTCCTACCCATACTGGTCGCATATTACGTTTAATTTTTGGTCTTCTTTCTTTATCAATCATGAACTAATTCTGCTTCACAAAGGCAAAGGCTTACGTGGTTTACGTGGTGCCGTCAAGGACCCCTTTAGGTTGTCACCTCGTATGAATCCCCTGTCTCCGAACCGGCCCACCTCGAGCTGTCTCCTCTGACAAGTGCTCTCGCTCTCTCCCGTTCCAGAGTCTCGCGAGCAGGATTCGTCGGACGCCGTCTACTCGGCCAAGACGCTGGCAGTGGCCGTGACCACCACCTGCCTACTGGCCATGGTGATCGGGTTCATGGCCGGTTGGCTCTTCTCTCGACGCTGGACGCGCAACCAGCAGCGAACGAAGTACTACGAGACGGACTCGACGTGCCTCAAACAGGCCGATACCGTGGCCCTCCCCGTCAAAACAGACAACAGGTCAGAGAGTCACGCACCGCAATGCATTTTTTTTTAAATTTTGCATCCCCGCTAGCACAAGGCTATAGCTGGGGGGACCGGTTTGCGCTTGTTAGATATATGCTCTGTTTAATCCAATGGCTGTTCATGGCTCATGCAAACAATCAGGATCTAATGAATGCCTTCTTCCACAGGGGCGACATCGCGCAAACGCAGCCGAACCCCGAGCCTACCAGCTTCGTGGGCAACAACGGCAAGCAGATCAATATTGTAGTGAACCAGACTAAGCCCACTCTGGACAGAAAAACAGAAATAGAGCCTGGCTACGATACGTTGCAAAAGAAGCGGAGTGCATATTTGTAGTGTATGTGTTTCATGATGAACTGAGTCGCCGCGTCTCGTGGAAAAGGTCAACGCACGCGGTGAAGGGTCGTGGAACTAAGACGAGGTCAGACCCGCCGCGGCGCCAGTGAATTGATGCGGGCCCGCGGCGCCAGTGAATGACCTCGACCTCGAGGCGTGTGACCCGGCGGTGTCGCTCCGGGGCCCTATGGACGGGTCGCGAGCCGTGACCAGGGCCCGTGCGAGCGGATGGCAAAGTCGCATCCCGTGCGGTTTTGGACGCAGCAGCTCTCCTTGCGACACATCCGCGGAAAGGTACGGGTTACTCTTGAGGCAGTTGTTTGCCCCGCACACACTTGTGTGAATGAAATTTTTCAGCCGAACTACCACGTCAAGGCTGAGAATATAGCATATATAAATGTGCAATTTTTTCATACTGACCTTTAGTGTGCCGTTTAGTTTAGTGTCACGATTTTTTGGCATTTGCGATTTGTCCCGTCAATGGACTTGGCTGACGACACGTTTGCTGTATGTTACAGGCCAGTATAAGCTCCTCGTGGTCGGCTCTCTCGGCCGGCACCGCTGTGAGCCCCCGGAATCATCGCATCAGAAGGACAGCAGCAGTCACCCATCGGTGACCTCATCGGGGACAGAGTCTGATCACCAGAGGTCACTTCATGTTCGGGTATCAGTCAGCCCAACGAAGGTCGGGTCAAAGGGGTTGACCTGACCTGGTTTGGGTCGCGCCACCGACGAGTTGCGTCTTTCGGCTCGATAGGATAGGTGGCATCGCGACTCAGTCGAACGTGATACTTTTGATTTAGAGATTATTTAGACGCTATGTGATGTGCTACGGTCATTGATTATATGTACCTATGTGAAAGCTTATATTATGTCGATTTTTGATCGTGTTTCGATCCGCAGCTCGCCCCTTTCCTTTGAAGTGCGCTTTTCTTATCATGCTCGTCCTTGTCCGTCCTCTGGCAGATGTGTTCTGTTTCACTTATAGACGTAGATACTCGTACAATCGTGAGACCGGTTTCACCATGCGCTGAAATTTTCACCGTTCCTTTGCCGGGTCCCCATGAGTGTGCCTACATATGTGTAAGCGCAGTGCTGACTCCGAAAGCATTGCGAACTCTGTCCAGTCGGGTGCATATGGAAAGGTGTTGTCTGAAAAATGTTGCGTGCCCAGACGGTCGTCGATCGGCTTATTTGATCGCCTTCTATGCCCATCGAGTTCTCGGTAATTGTGCAATCCGTGAAGCCGCATTGAAGAACAACAAAATATTTCCACTGCTTGCATTAAACTCACCCGAATGTACGGTCGAAAGAACGTAATCACCGCCTGTTCCGTTTACATATTTCCGTGTAAAGAACACACGTCATTGTTTGTTGCGGCTATGGCGTCGAGGTTGGAAAGTCCATATCCTTTCATTCTGGACACGTGATGGATGTCGGCCGTCGTCAGCCGTCACTGACCACTTTATACTTCACCACGCTCCACGGCCGGCGAGACAAGGCCCGAGCCGGGGCGTGGTTTCTCAGGGAGGATGCGTGGACGTGCGTGCGTGCGTGCGTGCGTGCGTGCCGCTGTGGGACGGTGCGTGCGATAAGGAAGGTTGCTAGTGTCCGTCTTCACGCGTGTGTATTGTGTTCGTAGTTTAGCACGACCCTGCTTGCTCACGCTGCAGCGTTTAAGCTTTCATTCGCGCTCCACGCAGCTCGGGATGTGACTGCAACATTTTGGAGGAGGGACATTGTACTGGATGGCGACTATCCGCGACTCGTGCGGAATCGTGCATTTGTTTTGGCTGTGATACGCTTATTTTGTATTCATGATACTGTGTCATGACACTGCAATATATTGTGATGTGCTGCTGATTACAACTTTCCTAGGTGTCTGAAAGGAAACTCCGATCGACAGGAAAACACTCCGACTTGTAAATGCATTGCATACGTTCCGTGTCAAATCCACTAGCTAGTAAGCCGGTATACCATCGCAATCATCAGTGGATATTTCGACAAACTAATTGCCTCCGAATGCATCGAAAACCATAAATCACCTTGCGAAAATTAGCGTCCCTGCCAAATGTTTGTCGAATCCACCCTTTCCATAGAGACGTTGGTGTACCTAAGCCTCTTACAAACGTAAGGCTTTACTGGTAGTAAATGCTAAATCGATGGGCGATGGAGTTATTGCAAAACTTGGTCTGAGGCAATACGAGAAGTTCAAACATGGTCATCATGAACTCCGCATAGACGGGTGAACTTTCATAATAGGCTTTTGTCGGTATTACACATTTATATTGATGTTTCACGTTATTTACACAATACACAATACATACAGCACTATGTCTGACAATAATTGACGGTAAAATGCGCTCGGTCTGAAACTCGTACCAGTCACTCATCACTCTCTGCAGTCTATCGTTCGGCATTAACACTCGCTCTACATACATGTCAAGGCACAGGTCTGATCACCTGTATCGGTCGGACCGCGGAGCGGAGGTCGGAGGTATGCTCCGGACGCAGCCACACGCAGTACGCCGATTGTAAATGACGTCATCGGATCGAAACGCAGCAAAGCCGTCACAAAAATGGTCAATTTGCACACAATATTGCGCTAAAACAAATAAATAGCCCTAAAACCCGATACCGAGCTTTGTTTCCACATTATTATCCTATCTTCAGGAATCTGTCAAAACCGAGCCAAAAGGCCAAAAAATGATGATAGTCAACGCGAGTCGGCGGGAGAAAAAAAAGGACAATGCATTCAGCCCAATAGAAGGGCGCCTCGAATCGCGCACGCCACAGACACCCTATCGTCACACTTCTACGTCACGCAGCATACTGTCACCACAACAGAGCATCACGGACATACCTGGCCCCACGCCGGCGTCGGAGCCACGGACTGAATGAGGTGAGATGACAGCGGCGGGATGATGGGCATGATTAACGCGAGATGGACATGGATTACACGCGGCATAATCTCCAATGGCACACGACCGCACTCCGCGCGCGCGCACGACTCCTCGACGAGCTAGACAATAAAGATCTCTTCGGCGGACACCAACACGATCAACAATAACAACATGGCCTCGGTCGCGCTATCCACATTTGTACAGAACTCGTAATGCAGCTGCAGTGTGCGTCGTTCACCACTCCTGGCCGTGCCGGTCGGCGCGGCGCTAGGCCGCGCCACCCCTGGTGGCCGGCAGCTGAAGCTCGAGTGTCGCCAGTTCCCGCCGGCGGCGCCACAGCCCGCCCACCAATAGCGTCTACTGCACTGCGCTGGCGGACCGGCCGCTCTAGTTCCACAGTTCACCGCTAGGGGCGCTGCGCTGCCGGCGGCGCGCACTACAAGTACATTTTGCGCACTTTCTGCAGCGGCTTGTTGTCGGCGGCCGAGTTGGCGTTCTTGCCGTTGCTGTTTTTGGTCTGGTTGACCACCAAGTTGATCTGTTTGCTGAGCAGCACCGACGGAGGTTCGGTGTTCAAGAAGTTCTGGTCACACCTGAGCAGGAAACGAAACAGTCAGTGGAGCGTTCAGAAACCAATTCACCAATCATTTACCGGGATATGATTTCATTGCTATGTCCGCTACCACAAACAAACAATAGACATGTGTCACCTCAAAGAACACATCCGGAGTTACAATGAACAACAGCACACGATGCTTGTTGTTACAATCGCTACAATCACGAGGAAAGGGGCCTAATTGCGTGGTCAGCTCACCTGTTATCAGGCTTGCCCTGGGCGGCCGCCGTCTCTAGCTGTTTCATCTTGGACTGGTGATCCAGGTGCGGTGTCTCGTAGTATGGTTCATTGCGCATTCGCCAGCAGCGCCGAGAGAAGAGCCAACCGGCCAGGAACCCGATCACCATGGCCAGTAGGCAGGTGGTGACGACGGCCACGGCCAGCGTCTCGGCCGAGTACACGGCCGGCTCCACACCGGTCACAAACTGGGACTCTGTCGACAAGGGAACGGACGGGTGTGACACAGTGACAGGGGAACGGGTGCGTCACGCAGTGACAGGTCACTCGGCGTTACTGCGGTCAGTGACGGACAGAGAACGTCACCAACCATCGTGACGGGACGGCAGTGACGACCGGACAGCCGGCGACAAACGACAAACATTAAGATCTTGGGTTAAGGGCGCCACAACCCAAAACGATGCAGATTATGACCATCTCATCATGAAACGAAATAAAAAAGACGCTAAATTGAAAATAAGCACAACTAAGGCAAATGTGCAGGATCAAACGGTTACATGTGAGCGTGCACTAGCTAGTGCAGCCAATTACCATGCGCATGCTTTCTAAACATCGCGACCGAGCCGGTCTCGAGATACCATCGCTCAGCCGTTGCGCTGCGGCGGAGCACACGATATCTAACATAGCCCCAGCCGGAGCGGGCGGCCCCACAGTAGAAGGGAGGGAACACTTACCAGCGCCCGGGTACGACGCCTTCGGCTGCTCCAGAATGTCCAATACCTTATGGCCTCGCTCCAGCGCGTTATACCGACCTCGTTCTGTAACGGACCGACCACAGAGCCCTTCAGTAAACCACTTTTATAGCAAAATTAGAGCACGGAAAAACAGAAAATACTCAATTTTCGACTTTTGTAACCTTATTCCCTTTTTGCAAACGGTATCATGGTTTTCATCGTCATTGTAGCTTCGATACTGAAGCCATTATCAGCTATAAATGAATCAGATAGTCTAAATCCTTTGCATAAAAGTAAAGTGGAAATATTCTGATGTGTAGACGATTTAGAAAAAAGGACGAACAAAGGCAGCAACCAGCAAGTGTGTTGACCAAGTGTAACGATGTGATTTGCGGAGCTGTGACTTCCCGACGCTCTCGAGTCTTACTGACCTAGCCGGACGTCTGAGTCCGAGTCCGAGTCGCTGTCCTGTCCGGAGCCGGCCGGAGCCGACCCGGAGCCGCAGACACACGGTTCCGGAGGACTGGACGCCGTGCTGGGAGGAGCTACAACAAGCAGACAGACACACCGCCGCTACAGACACAGCCGACTCGCACAGACACACAGGCAGGCAGGCGGACGAACACAAAACAGTAGCGTGCCGGCAGTGCAGATAAATAATATAGCGGCAGTGCAACGTAAACAAAACAAAAAGTGCCGAATACAAGCAACAAAACAAAATGCACAAATGCATCAAGCAGTTTCTTTGAATTAATACTTACTCGTTGCCTCCTGGTAGAGAATTTTCGGCTCCCGATCTGGACCTGTAAAACGAAGAAATCCATGTTAGGAAACGTTGTAATCAGTCAATGTCGCTTCGCATCATTATGGTCGCTTTATTCAACTCAGCAGTAACACGAGTCGACACACTTTCTGCCATCCCCATAAAAACGCCGTGGCTTAGTTAAACAGCCTCAGCTTCCTGAATTTCGCCGCAGTTTTGATGCAACGCCTTGCGTCCGACATCTGACACAAGAGCCAGTTAAGCGTGTTGCAGAGAAGGAATTATGCCGGAACTTTATCATCTTAACTGAAACAAACGACCACGCACGCCACTCGGCAGAGTGGTCGGCAAACAAACTCAGCGAGGCCACCGCTCGCCGCCAGTCGCCACTCGTCGGGCGGTGGCGGGGGCGGGGGCGGGGGCGGGGAGGGTACTCACTGGGCGGACAGTGCGGATGGACGCCGTGACTGACGTTCTGCACCACGGCCACGCCCTCGGGCCAGGCGGGCGAGTCGACGGGCGCGCACCGCTGACCGGCCGCCTCCCAGCCGCAGTACGGGTCCTGCAGGCGCACGCAGTCGGCACAGCGCAACGCCTTGTCGCCGCAACGGTGCAGCGGCAGCGCGCGCACCTCGTCATCGGTGACGACGATCAGGCGCGGCGGCGCGTCCGGCTGGCGCGAGACCAGCAGGTTGGTGATGGCCGCGCCGCTGGCCAGCACCTCGAGCTCCTCGATGAGCACGGGCTCGGCGCGCACGGTGCCGGAGCCAGAGGCGGCGTTCACCGCCTTCAGCACCCGGCCGTTGTCTGACGGAGAAGACGCGAGTTAGTCCTGATGTCATTAGCCATCCCCAGAGGGCCATGCGGAAAGTAAAGCTAACTATGGCCTCATCGTTGCATAATTTAATGTTCATTTCAATAAAACAAAATCCTTCTTGCAACGTTTCCACTACTTTTATGACAGTATGTGCCGGTAAAACCTCCACTTACCTGTTCCGATGAAGAGCACGTCGTAGAGTGTTCCGTCGGCAGCCTGCACCTGCGGGTCCACGGCAATCTTGGTGAAGCGGTGCCGCAGGCTGGTGCGCGCCAGCAGCGGCCGGCCGTGCAGCGACGGCACGGCACCATCCATCAGCGGGTGCGACTGGATGAAGTTGAGGTGCGCGTCCGACAGCTGGCGAGAGTCGTTGACGCACAGGCCCGGACGCGGACTGGGCACCTGCGAGTTCTTGAGCGGCAGCCAGTTGGAGTTCATGTCCTCCTGGTGCTTGAAGGCGCCGGCGAACGTGTCGACCAGGTCGGCCATGCGGAAGGCGCAGATGGCCGAGCCGGGGATGCTGTTGACGGGCGTGGTGAAGACGGCGTAGAGTACCTCCTCGGGCCGGCCGCCGTACACGCCGCTCTGCACCGTCGAAATCGACTCTGACGACGAACGGGGACACGGAGCGGTCAGCCACGAGGAGCCACACGGCCAGCGCTGCTCCGATCACGGCGGAGGTCGAGGTCACCTCTGAGGGATATCTCACGGCGCGTGGGCAGCCAGACAGCCGCCCGGGCCGAGCAGGTGGGATGTGACGCCCCGAATGAGCCCCAATAACGGTGCAGAGCATTAAAACTGGACACCGTGTATAACTTCACAGAAATCATGACTAACAGGCTGAGCCGGCAGC